CTCTCTCTCTCTCTCTCTCTCTCTCTCTCTCTCTCTCTCTCTCTCTCCTTCTCTCCCTCTCTCCCTCTCTCTCACACACACTTGATATAAAGAACAGTTTGCTACGGCTGTGGTGCAGTGGCCCATTGCTATTGAACTGATCAAGTTCGGCCTGTGGCTCTCTGGTCTGTGAGTCAGTTTGGAAGGATGTGGAAGACATGCCTGTGCTTCATGAGGGCATCAGTCTACTGGGGAGACGGTTGGAAATATGAGGCCTCTAGGGAGGCAGATCTTTAGAGGAAGAAAGGAACAAGGCCTGCCCAAATCCCAGAAGATGTTGTGACTACTGGAGGTGCAGTGTGAGGACTCAGAGTTAAGGCAACTTACATGCAGGGGCTTTTGGTCTTGTCTGCTCCCCTTTTGATGGCTGCGGCAAACTGACTATCAGCATGCCCTATGATCATCACAGAGCTGGGGCTAGAAGTTCAGTGCCCTTGCATAAGAGTGTAAAAACTTCATCTATAAAATAGAGGCAGGTGGTGTGGGCAGAGTGTGTGAATAGTGTTTCTCCCTCAAGAATAGCTACTGATGTAATTAGATTAGGATTTTCCCACAATGCCTCAGGAAGCTATCCTGCCTATGTGTCTTGATTTGTTGGCTTCCCAAAGAATACGAGGCAAGCGCCAGACATTTTGTCAATAACTATATGATTAATACCAGCAATGCCAATTGCATTTCAAAAATTTGTTTTATTTTGTTTTTTTTCTATCTGAGTGTTTGGCCTACATATATGTCTGTTTACCACATGTGTTCCTGGTGCCTTTGGAAGTAAGAAGAAAGCATTGGAATCCCTGGAACTGTTGCTGCACATGGTTGTGAGCGCCCACGTGGGTGCTGGAAGTTGAACCCGAGTCCTCTAGAAGAGTAGCCAGTGCTCTTAACTAGATCCTCACCCCAGTAGCGTTTTTAAAGGGTAGTGATAATGGCTGCCCCTGTTCCCCAGGAACTGTGCTGAACAACCCACTCTATAGGTACAGAGGCAGACTCCCATATATTAGTAATCACCAATGGTTTGCAAAGGGAGGCAGAGGGTTCATTGAGGACAACTCAGTGCCCTACAACCACACAGCGACTAAGGGTGGAAATGCAATGCAAACCCAGGCATGTGCAGTGTTGGAGACCAGGTCCCCAGCCCTGGCTGCACAATCATGACAGGCCTTGTCTTGTATCTCTCCTAGTGTCCAGACAGCCGTGGACTGTGGCAGCCGCAACAGAAAAGAGGAGTAAGTAAACCCCCATGTAGCTTACGGAGGGAAGCCCTGGCTCTGTGTGCCCAGCTGGCAAGGAGAACGTCTGCTTCCACATGGAGAACTCTCTGCAATGTCTGTGAAGTTCTGGGTTCATGGTCTAGCGTGGGCCTCATGGGAGCATACTCTGTCTACCTGCCTGACTTCGTTTAGACAGAGGAAGTCATGGGTGATCATATCACTGTCTCCCACACCTTCAGTGGCTCCCTGTGGCCCCAGACAGACCTTTCAGAGAGGCACCTGTGCTCCATGCTGGCCTCTGATTCTCTGTGGTTCCTGCTTTTCTACTGTCTGTGTCCTGACCTTTCCTGACCTGCACACCTGTGTGGACACTAGTCACACCATGCCATCATCTTCCAGTGGCAGGGCTCATCTGCCACCCTGACTTCCCTTTTCCTTCAGGAAGGAAATGGGGGTTCCTTTCTCAACCTGTGAGCCGGCCCTCTGCTCCTCTCTGTATGTGGTGATGGAGCCTTCATTTCGTGACTTCTCACAGTCATATGTATCTCCTCTACTAGGAAGCCATCTTGAACACAGGGTTAATGTCAAGCCCCTGTCCCGTGGTAGATGGATTCAGTGTCACATAAACAAACCACACATTTGTACATGTATGGGCCCACAGGCGCTTGCATGTGCACACATACATGTGAGTAGCTGTGTGGCCCTCCCCTGGTAAAGAGGAGACCCAACTTGCCAAGGTGATCCTCAAAGGGTAAGGGAGGACTGAGGACCTTCACCCCTACATATCCCACGAACGTATCATTTGGTACAAAATTCAGTGACAAGCTTGACACCTCAGTGTGTGTGTGTGCGCTCATGTGTGTGTGCACACATCCCCAATAGTGCTATGTTAATACTAAGTGTACTGGGATGAAAGCAAGTGAATTTTCCACCAAGACTTCATTGGGCACCAGTTTGGTGATCTTGGCTAAGATCTAGCTTGGCCCCTCCAAATGCCAGTGCTTCCTCCCAGTTCACAGGCCGGTACCAGCTCTCCGTCTACGGCACCGCCTGTAGAATGCTCTGTAGGGCCCAGGCTCACAGTGTGTAGTGATGGTCTGGTTATGGTCCTTACTGTGGTTGCCACTGTGATCAACGTCCTAACTTTGGCTTCTAGGGACAATGCCTCTGTCATCAGCTCCCAGCCAGAGGGTAGTCTACAGTCCTGGATGAGCTGCTCCCTGTCCCTAGCCACAGATGCTGGGAGGACCCCCTCTCGACAGTCGGCTGTCAGCAGCTCTCTCCTCAGTCCCAGGTAAGAACCTTGGCCTGTGGCCTGACTGACCTGGGGGGGCAAGGAACCCACCCCTTCCCAGCTGTGTGACTGCTTTAAGGGAGTTGCTTGCCCTCTCAGGGGCTGAAAAGTGTGAGTCTGATGCTGGTCACTAACTCAGATAGTAATAAGGATGCAGCTGCCACACAGACATCCACAAGGCATGGAGCACCGGTTATTCTGAATAGTTCGGTGTGGACAAGGAATAACAATTCTTTACCACTGCTCCTGCCTCGGGTGTCACACGAGCGAGTCTTTGGTTTATAAATAAGCATGATCAGTTACGGTTTTGTTTCACTTTTGGTTATTGCTTTTGAGTGGAGTCATAAAGAAAATTGAACTAAAGCCAAGCACACTACTGGTTCAGTGCCCTTTATCTCAGCTGCTATGGAGGTTGAGGCAGGAGGATTTCTTGAGCTGAGAAATTTGAAGACACCTTGTGATATGGTGAGCTACAGACTTTACAAGATAAAAAATAAATATCTATTGAGCTGTGTTTCTCATGGAGAAATTTTTTAAGTTTTGAATGTAAGATTTTATAATCTTGGGGTGGGAGGGACGACCCAGCAGGACTCAGTTCCCAGCATCCACACTGAGCTGCCTGTAACTTCAGCTCCGGGGACTGAATGCCCTTTTCTGACCCCTAGGGCAGCTGTACTCAAATGTACATACACAATTTAGATACACAGGCCTACAAATAATTAAGAATACAAAAAGCTTTTTAATTGTTTATTTTATTTTGTGATTATATGATTACATCATTTCCTTCCTCCCTTTCCTCCCTCTGAACTCTCCTGTATAGCCCTCCTTGTTCTCATTCAAATTTATGCTTTCTTTCTCTTTAATTCCTGTTATATACATATGTGTATGTGTGTGTGTGTGCATGCACACATATTTCTAAATATATTCTATAACCGGCTCAGTCTGTATAAAGTCAGTTGTATGTGTATATTTTCAGGGCTGACCATTCGGTATGGGATGCTCAGCTGGGAAAGATGATTTATCAGACTCTTAACATTCCTTAGTTGCCTCCAGTTCTCTGTGTAGGTTGAGGCAGTCGTGTTGGTGGTATGTTGTGGATGCAGCTTCTGACATTGCTAGAAAACACAGTCCTACAGCGAACTCCCCAATCCTCTGCTCTTGGAATCTCTCTGCTCCTTCTTCTCAGTGATCCCCAAATGTTAGGTTCAGGTGTTGTATTGTCAATGTACTGTTGAGATTAGGTTCCATAGCTCTGTATTTTGATTGGTTGTAACTTTCTGTAACGGTGTCCATATGTTACAAAGAGAGGTCTTCTTGATGAGGGCTGAGAACTACACTTATCTGTGTGTGTAAGGACAGATACTTAGAGCGTAGTTAGGGTTTATACTGGGTTAGTAAAGTGACGGTTGTAGGGTCTTCTCCAAGATCCATGCCCAGTAGCCCTGGGTAGCTGGCTGGATTTCCAGTACCAGGCATGATTTCTCTCTGTTCAGCAAGCTGTAAGTCCAATTAGAGAGCTGTTGGTTACAGCCGAGGTTCACCTGCCACTCCTGCACTTTAGTGTTATCATGCCGTGCTGCTCCCTGTTAGATTCCGTCCAGAGGCGTCAGCTGGTAGGACTGTTGGTTGCTTCTCTCCTTTGGAAGCTTCCATAATGCTTTCTGGTACCATGAAAGCTAGTCCTTGTAGCTAGCATCCAGGTCAGTTCTGACTCAGATCCTCTGGGTTCTGTCTAAAGTGCATGGTGTCTTCAGCAATAGGGACGTATCTCTTAAGGCAGCCAAGGGTAATAGCAAGTCTACAATGCTTTGGGAGTCTCTCAGATAACCCCGACCAACAACCCAAAAGGGGGCTTTTATGCCCCATGTTGGAAGTTGTATCCGATGGTCTTTGGCTTCAAAGAGCATTGTTTGCTCAAATGAAAAATTATTTAAACTGCATAAGTTGATTCAGTCACTCACTGTGTGCTTTATAGGTACTTTTAGAGGTTCATAGTTGAGTCCTAATGACTTTTCAGTCAACCCTTCTGTTATTTTATCTTCCTCCCGCCTTCTTCTGTATGTATCTCCCTCCACTCCCCCAATTAGAGCCCCCCTTTTCTCATTTCCTCTCTCAGATCACTTGTATTCTGCTTGTCCCCCACACACACCCACAGTGGTCTTGTTTTACTTTCCTGGATTCTGCAACTACTCCAGGATCTTCATTCATATTCTGAAGATTTGGAATTGGGGTCCTCTGGTGAAATAGAACATGTGACACTTGTCTGGTTACCTCTTGTTGGTTATCTCTTGTTGTCTGGTTACTTGTTGGTTACCTCTCTTTACATGATCTTTCGTAGCTCCATTCATTTACCTGAAAAGTTTGTTTTTCTCTCTATCCCCAGTGTGAGTAGAGTAGCAAAGAGCTTGGCAATGGTTGAGCAAGGATCTGTGAAGTAAGATGCAAAGTCCTTTGGGCATATGCCAAGGCCTTGTGTGGCTGGGTCACATAGTGGATTTATTTTAAGCTTTCTGAGGGTTCTTCACACTGATAATCATAGAGGCTTCACCAGTTTGCAGTTCCACCTATCGTTTGGTGATACCTCAAAATAGAATGCCCACAAATCCGTGAGGTTGCCAGTAGCAGAACTCCCCATTGGATGTCACAGTCCCTCCCCAGTGGCGTGACCTCTGTCCTTTGCTCTCTGCATTTCAGCTCTGTTTCTCTGTGCTCACTTATTTTCCCTTGCAAGGGTGACCCTGGTGTAATCAGGGCCTAGTGTCTGTGAGTCAGAAACAGTGAGTCCAGCAGATATGAAATTAGGATGAACCACTCACTGCCGTTGTGGTGGCAGAGGGACCAGAGTGACAGATAGGAAAGCCACCACCATACGGAGCAGACCCAGACAAGCCCAATCTGCTCTGACCGCCTTTGCCAGGAAGTGGGGTGTCTCAGCAGGAAGATGACTAGGTGGACCTTGTCAAGCAGACCCTTGTTGGGGCATGCTCAGTCAAAGGCAACTGCCTGAAGAATATCTCAGGTTGAAATATCGGATGCAAGAAACATTAAATTGAGGTGCTTAGAATGGGGACATGTGGGCCACTCACAAGGACCAGGTTATCTGATTATATCAGTATTCTGGTCCACTGTGTAGATGAGGATACGTCTTCCCTTCTACTGAGACCACTGTCCATGGTGGAGAAGTCAGAAAGTGGTGACTATGTCTGAGGACGCATCACCTATCACTGCTCCAAGGTGTTTGGCTCCCATTTGCATAAGAGAGAGTGGGTTGGGAGTCGATGCATAGTCTATAGGTAGAGCTCACAATTCCAATCCTTTATCATGAGTTGGGAAGGTCATTTGACTTCTCTGCTCCTGTGCCCTCGTGAGGAAGTCAGGGCCGTTGTCAGGTATCATAAGATGAAGACTGAACGAGCTGACTTCCGGAGCTGACATCTAGAAAGAGCTCTGCCAGGTGCTGTGTTAAGAACACAAGCATCTACCTGGTGCCCTGAGGAATCCCAGGAGGTGGCCAACTCTGCTCACCTGTTACAGATGGGCTGAGGACCAGAGAGGGTGAGCCAGTCTGACCCTCATTCAGGCAGGGCTCCTCCAGAGGCCCCAGACAATGCCCTCCAGTATCTCCTGAGCTCCCTGCTCTGACCCCTGCTAGTCCTGGGTCAAGCCAGCTCTATCCAGCATGGAGGTGTATATGCTGGCACATTTGCAGTAAGGGACCCCTTGTCCATATCCTTTATGTCTGTGTCCCCAGGGCTGGTTTGCAAGCTATAATCCATAGATGCTTGCTAAGCAAATGAATAACTGACCAGAGCACAGAGTTTGGAGTGGAAATATGAATTATATTTGCAATAGTTTACTATTTGCTGTGATCAGAGAGGGCCAGTAATTCACTCAGTGTCTCACAGCAAACAAGAGGAAAGGCTTGGCTTTGTACTAGGTGTGAAATATTCCAATGTCGCTGTCTATCCATGCCTCACCTCAAATTGCTCACCTGGTAGAGAATTCTAGAATCGATTATTCATGCTAACAATGCCTAAGGATTATTACTTAATATGCAACACAGTCAGGAGTGCTTAAGTAGGGGCTTGTTGGGTGCCAGACTTCAGGTACAAAGTCCTGAAATGCTGTAATGTTTTCTTTATTTTTTACTACTACTAAAAAATACTACATCATTTTACTACTATTTTATTCTTTAAAAGTTTAATATTATGTTATTCAATTCAATTCCTATTCATGTTATACTATACACACACACACACACACACACACACACACACACACACACACTAACCATATACATCTACCACTACCACCTCCCAGCTCCCCAGAATGGCCACCTAAGCTCCCAGCTTCTTGTCTTCATTGTATTTATTTGTTTTTGTTATAACCCTGAATCTAGTTAGTTCTGCCATGTGACCATGGACGTCTGACCATCCTCTGGGACTGGACAACCTACATTAGGTCACATCCCCAAAGGAGAGGGCCTTTCTCTCCCTCGGCAGCCATCAGCTCCTGCCAGTAGCTCCTCTGACGGGGTGTAGCTCAGGGGCCCCTCCTCCACCCATGCTGTAACTTCAACAGCTTTGATGTGTAGGTGACCACAGCAGCTGTGAGCTGGTGTGCAGCAGCCATGCCATTTTCAAAAGTCCTTAGACTCTTCCCAGCCCCCCTTCCAAGAGCTTCCCTGAGCCTTGGGTGTTAGGAGTTTGATATGAATGACCCTTCCACAGCTGAGCCTTCAGTGTTGTTTGTAAGGAATGCATTGAGCAGTTCTCTGCATTAACCACTGCCTACTTCAAAATGAAGCTTCTCTAACCAAAGGCGCATTCGAGAGGCAAATGTTCGAGTATAAATGTGGATATTTAGAGTGCAGTTTAACAGCGTGAACATTTCACAGAATAACACCAGCAGGTTCCCTCCTAAGGGCCCGTGACACCCCCTGTGCCAAGTTATGGCCTTTTGACCAAGTTCACAGTTCCAGGCATGAATACTCCCCTATG